GGCTCAGCAGCCATGGCTCACAGGCCTAGCTGCTCCGCGGCATGTGGGATCTTCCCAGACCGGGGCACGAACCTGTGTCCTCTGCATCGGCAGGCAGACTCTCAACCACTGCGCCACCAGAGAAGCCCAACATGGGGAATTTTTTTAGTGCACTCGAACTATACTGTATATTGCAATGGTGAATACATGACACTATGCACTTGTCAAAACCCACAGAACTTAGCAGTACAAAGAATGAACCTTAATATATGCAAATTTTAAATCTCATTTAGGTGTTCAGGGGCAAGGGATCCCAGGATGGAATGCAGAGTGTTGCAAAAGGATCCAATGGTATTGCAAATGTATGAAACAGTCTCAGTAAAGTGGGTGAGGGGAAAAGGGGATGACCTTAGTAGCTCTGAAAATGAGTGAACAGTAACTTTGGAAATGAATGGAGTGTGTAAGACTAAAGACACAGCAACTGTACAGGTCACTGTACTCTAGTTGACCAAGTTGTTTTTCATGGAGTACAGGTTAACAATTCTGCAACCACTATACATACGTATATACTGGAATTGAATAATTCAGTAAATAGACAGTGGTTGGTGGGAGCCACATTTCTCACCGTTGGAGTGGGAGGTTACAGATAAGGAGGGGAAGAGACAGGTATGGTCCCTGTGGTAATGAGTGAGTTAGAGACATCGTATGATTTCGTGTTTAGTTTAATATAGATACAGATGGTTACACATAGAAATATCTAAAGGTATGTGCATTTACATGTGTTAGTATACACACATATATTTTCTTGCTCTGTCAGCTGACAGAGCCTAGAAGCAATGAATCCAGATCTTGATTTTTTAATACGATTCTCCAATAAAAGTGACCAAGACTCCTTGGAGAAATGGCTGGTTCTAGGGCTGGGGCAGGATGTAGAGAAGATGAACCCGAAGCATCTTATAGTGCCAGGAAATAAGGAAGTGCTCAAACATATACATGGACCCACATATGTACACACAAATGATGTGGGTAAGTCAAAGGGACATAAGTGTCAATTGAAAGCGCTCCCAATGGCCAAAGCTGGTATTTGAGCAACTAAATAAATAATTTAACATTGAATTATAACCCAAAGTATAAAATAAAGATTTGTGAGTCTGTGCTGGCATCAATAAACATTTGAAAAAATAAATAATGGAGGAGACACAAATCTCCCATGCAGAATTCCAAATAATTTATATAGCTACTCCATCCTCAAGGAGGTAGAACATAACTCTTCACTTCCTGTGTGTGGGCTACATAGTGCATATCTTCCAGACCACAGTATGGGATGAGGAAAAAAAAGAGTAACTTTACGGAGGAGGGACCTGAAAAACACTACCTCAGAAAGGTAATCAAGATTAACGTCAATAATAATTAATGGTATTACTAGCATGTACTTGATAGGATGTGATAAAAATAGCACAATATCTCTGTAACCTTCTTCCCCAAAACCCAGAACTCCAGTCTAATCATGAGAAAAGCACACATCTTCATTGAGGAGACAATACTCCTCAAAACTAACAAAGGCATCAAAAATTTAAAAGTCCGAGACACCATCACAGCAAAAAAAGAGCCTGAGACATGACAACTAAATGGTTCCTGGATGAGATCCTGGAACCAAAAAAGGACCTTAAGTCAAAACTAAAGAATTCTGAATAAAATATAGGCTCTAGTGTTGCTTTTCCTTTCTTTATTTCCTTTTTGTTTTTTTTTAAAGAAAGGCAGACTGCCACATGCAGACTCATTAGGATGTGTCTGGAGTCCTGGAAGTTTGGCTACCCTACAGTCTCCTACAAATGGACCTTGAGATCTTGTGTGCAGGTTCTAGCAGGGGAGCACAGCAATTAGTAGACCCTTGACCCAAGAACGGTCCTCCTCTATCGGGGAAGGCCGACCAAGCGGGCAGTTTTGGGAGGGACACATATGGAGCAATGAGGGAGGGAGGTCACCTTCCTAGCCAGCAAGATCAGCCACATCAATCCTGGCGATCAATAGGGTGACAGATGTCGCAGCCAGATCACCCTCATGTCTAAGGCTTTAGTTTATAATTGATTCGTGAACTGTGACAAAGCTACCATGCTAATGTAGGATGTTAATAATAGGTGAAACTCTGTGTGAGATGTATGGGAACTCTGTATTATCTTCACAATTTTACAGTAAGTCTAAAACAACTCTAAAGTACACTATTTTTTAATAAGTTATTAAAACCCTACTATAGCTCACTAATGCTGGGCATGTAAACATCGTCAAATGATAGATATGGGGCTAGAATACAGACTTAACTTCAAAACAATGAAATCCAGAAAGACAAGCATTCCAAACACATGGAAATTTCTTCCTCTTCCACATGACAGCCCCGGGTTAGGTTGTGGTCCAGAAAAGGTGAGCAGAGCAGCTCTAATCCAGGGTTGCTGACTCCTTCTGTCCTGTTACTCTGCCGTGCCCTCAGGGGCTGCTTTTACTCCAGGATCAAAGCAGGCTCACCAGCATTGTTTCCGCCTTCCAGCTCCATGGAAGGGAGAGTGGAGACAACCACCTTCCTTTTTTCTTTAAAGATGTGACACAAAACTTTCACAAAACACTCCTACTTGCATCCCTTTTGAAATAAATTGGGACTCCTGGCTAGGTGGATTGCACAGGAGGATGAACTGTAATCTCTAGCCATGAGTGCCAATTAAATCTGAAGGGTTTCTATTACTAAAGGAAGAAGCCAGAATAAAACTAGTATCCATTACAAATCTCTCCTGGCTTCCTGCTCAATTATCCAAGCGCACCTTTGTTCCCATACACAGAGCACACCCCTCAAAGGGGTACATCCTGAAATCCCATTTGATCACTCATCCAGCTCAGAGGCCAGGAATTCTGGTTGACTCTGTGTCCTCTGTCAGGTCCTGATACAATCCCCTCCAGTGCAGGGACCCGTAAACAGAAAGGGCATGATCTATCCCCCAACCAGCCAATACACAATTGTGGAGTAGGAACGAGGTAATCACAGGTAAAACTCTCATTCAGAAAAGGGAAGAATGGGACCAGTGAGTGGTCCATGGCAGTGAACAACGTTTGCTGGGCATCAGTTATGGAAAGTCCCCTCTGGTATTAGGATCCTTGATTTCATCCGGTCTGTTCTCTGGGAGGCACCCTCTTGTTCACTGTCCACCATGGTCACATCTGAAGTGGACATTGGAGGTATGGATCTGGGGACCCAGGTTTGCTTCAGGGTGGGAAGGGGCATGGCAAACTGGGGAAGGGGCATGGAAAACTGTCATAGACTTCTGTAAGCCTGGTTTGTGTTTTGTTTTTCAGCAGAACAATTTGCTCAAAAACTTAATATGCTTCAGTCTATTAGCTTCTAGTTAGTTCCATATGAAATTAACATTAGCAAAGGCCTCGGGTGGTCATAGTTCTTTCATCTGCCGCTTCCCCTCTTTTATTTACTGGCCTCTGTGCTTGGCTGTCCCTTTCTCCTTCAACTAAATGATCTTTGCAGTTGAGTTGATTCCCATTGTCTGAGGAAGAGCATTCAATGGCAGGCCCGGTACAGCTTCTGAGAAACATTACTATCTCCTGCTCTTCATCATAAAGTTGCAGTTGGCTTTTCTAGCTTGATTAAGCCCTCAGTCACTGGACTCCCAGGCAACTTAGATTGCAGGTCTCACTCAGGACAGAAGTGCAA